GCGCACCTGGGTCGCTCAGTTGGCTGTGCATCTGGCTCTTGACTGTGGCTCAGGTCATGATCTCCGGGTTTGTGAGTTTGAGCCCTGCCTTGGGCTCTGTGCCAACAGCACAGAGCCTGCTTGGGATTCTCTCTCTCCCTCTCTCTCTGCCCCTCCACTGCTCATGCTCCCTCTCTCAAATAAACTTAGAAGAAAAAAAAGAGTTAGGTGGGGTCACCAACAAACTCCCCCTTTAATCCCTGAGAGTGATCTGCACTGGGAAAAATGGGGGAATGGGATTGTGTGGTGGGGGTGGGGGGAGCGGTGCCTGGCTGGGTCCCCTCTTCTGACTTCCTCAGCCAAGCCTGCTCAAAGTTGTCCTCTCAGGCTTTGAGCACCGATCTTCACCCTACTGGGACTGCAGCCCAAGTCCCAGCTGCCATGGCTCCTGGCCGAAGTTTCCCACACTCTGTCGCCTCCACCCCAGGCCCTCTTGGCACATTTGAAGCCCTGCTAACCCCAGGGCCCCACACCACTGGTTTACACAGGACTTGAGCTGCTGCTGGTCTGCTGCATAGGGTGTTCGCACCTCTCTGTAGGTTTTGCAGCCTCTCCAGTTCATGCTCCAGGAGCCCGGGTACCAGTGCTTTCTGCTCCCATGACCCCCGCCCAGGATCTGGTCTAGGCATTCCCTGCTTGGCCCTTCTCAGAGACCGCAGGCAGGGTCTTTGTACATGTCCCTTGGGCCTTACCACCTCAGGGGGCTCCAGTGGCTGGTATCAATGCCTCTGGGCTAAGGACTCTCTGCAGAGCCACAGATGGCCACTCTGTCCTCTCTAGGGCGGACAAAAAGTGCTCAGGAATTCGCATCAGCCCCAACACTAGCAGCACCCTCCCTAGCAGTGACTGACAGGACTGATGCAGACGCATCTCAACCTCGCCCTGGCTAAGAGATCTCTGGTGTGTGTATTCTACACCGATTCCCCGGGATCCTTGTGGGACTGAGCTCCACTTACCCACAGCTGTAGCAGAGCCGATAACACACCCTTTACTGGCTACCTTCCTCTCCTGTCTTACTTCCACACCCCCATTGGTGTTTTCTAGAATCACTTCCCAAATAAGTCTCAGGGGCTGCTTCTGCAGAACCACTCAGAAACAGCCAGAAGGTCTTTCCTGCAGCCTGCCTCTTCCTCCCAGTCTTCCTTAGGAACCCCCCCTCCCCCGCCCCTGTCCGCCCTGCTCCCACTCTGGATTCTCCATCTCTCATTCCAGCAGCAGATCAAGGCAACATGCTCTGTGTCCGTCCTCTGGCTCTCTCTAGTACTGTGGGTTTTACAGCTTAAGCTGAGAGCAAAGGATTCATTTACCCTTCAGCAAAATCTCTATGAAACCAACCTCCTTTCCAGCTGCCTAACCTGGTGCTTGAGGCTGTCATCAACCTGTCCCAGCTTGTGGCCCAAGCAAACCCGGCCTGGGCCAGTTTGATCTCAGGGAGAAACATTGTACATTGGAAGGTCAGAACGTTCATTCAAAGTCAGCAAAAATAAAATTTAATTATGCGCTGCAGGTATGGGCAGTCTGTCCTTCCTCGGGAGTGACAGCCAGCCTGTTCTCTCCAGAGCAGACGGGCTCTGGAAGGATCCCTGAGTCTGGCCACCTTGGGTGAGCCGCCTCAGCCCATGAGAGGGGTCTGCTTCCAAACAGGGGAGGTGCACAGTGCATGGGGATTCCCCCAGCACTTTCCACAGGCCTCTTGGCCCCCTTCTCGTCGCTGCAGCCAGCTCTGACTCCTAGAGTAGCCAGGAGCTTCTTTGGTCCACAGCTACCCTACGGTATCTTCCGGGGAACACAGCCTTCCAGCTCCAGCAGCTCCGGCCAGCCCTCATACTTGTTTGTGTTTGGGTTGTTCTTTAAGAACTAGAGAGAGAGAGAGAGAGAGAGAGAGAAAGAGAGAGACGTGGCCCACAGGGGAGGCTGTTCAGAATTCACACCTGAATTGTCATTGTGCTTTTAAACCTCATGCCTTCACTCACTTTGTTCTGGCTTTGGCCCCATGGGGAGGTGGTGGTGTTGGATATAACCAGCCCATTTCATAGGAGGGGAAACTGAGGCTCAGAGGGACTACAACTTGCCCAAGGTTTTACAGAGGGGATCAGAGCTCAGTCATCCCTCAGTGCCTTGAGGGTGGGGGGCGGAGGGGAGCACCAAGCGTGGGAGGTGGGCTTGCCGAGCATTAGCTCCTCTGCCAAATTCTCTATCAGCCCCTCTAGGACACCCCCAGACAACCAGAACAATGAGAAGAAGCATCCTAGCAATTCATGAACACTTGTCCTATGCCAGGCACAAAGTACCTTATGTTTTTGTTCCTTATGGTAGCCCCAGGAAGGGCATACCATTATCATCCCATTCTATAGATGGGGAGCCTGAGGCACAGAGGCCCAAAGTAACTGCCTGTGGCCACTTAGTTGGTAAGTGACAGAACCACTTTGTAATATTAATTAAAAGTAAATAGAATAAAATCAGTTAAGATTGTGTTTAAAGTGCCTGGGCTTGGGGCACCTGGGTGGCGCAGTCGGTTAAGCGTCCGACTTCAGCCAGGTCACGATCTTGCGGTCCGTGAGTTCGAGCCCCGCGTCAGGCTCTGGGCTGATGGCTCAGAGCCTGGAGCCTGTTTCCGATTCTGTGTCTCCCTCTCTCTCTGCCCCTCCCCCGTTCATGCTCTGTCTCTCTCTGTCCCAAAAATAAATAAACGTTGAAAAAAAAAATTAAAAAAAAAAAAAGTGCCTGGGCTTAATTTACGGAAGAAACGAATGTAAGTGGCAAAGTCTACCAGTGGGATAATCGTGGCTCACCCTAGGGAATAAAGTCATTCTAGATGCTGCTTCTCTAACGCCCAGCGCCCCGTGTGTGGGAACAAAGGACTAGGTGGTTTCGGTCACACCGTGGCCTCCGATTCATTTCCGGGTGATGGGTCGACTTGCGTGCTTCTTCTTTGCTGTCTTGGCCCGGTTTTGACGGGTTTGGAAGCTGGGCTTTATGAAGAACCCGGCCTGTGGCCTGAAGCCTCTTCCCTGCCTCCCGCCCTGCCCCCTCCCTGCACCTCACACAGGGATGCGCTGGAGCCCCCGCCCGATGTCTGTGGTCTTCACCCGGAGGCTATCAACAGAGGGCTCCCTCCTTTTCTCCTCCAGCACAAGCTACTTTGTACAGTGATTTTTAAAAAGTAATGTCTAACGACCTGAATTCATTCTCTTAGAAACTCACGCATACAAACAAGGCCAGCATTTTCTAGACAGGGCAAAAACCCTTGCAGCCCATTGTGGTCCCCCCCAACCTGGAGTTCAGCCTTCTGACGCTGTCCCTCCCTGCCACCCATGGCCCCTTCCCTGCAGGCTGCTGTGCCTCTTGTCTGATTGCTGCCTGGGCCTCCTCCCTGCCTTCTCCACACTTCTCCGTGCTCAGCCGGGGAGGCTGTGCTAAAAGCATCAGGACGAGAAATCTTTGTGGAGGCAGGCTGACCTGATGACAGCTGCATCTGCATCGCTGAGTAGCTCAGACCTGAGCAAGCTGGTTACAACCTCTCCATGCCTCCGGATCCTGGACTGTGAGATGGGAGGATAATTGTACCTGCTTCATGTGGGAATCAAAGAAGGCGCTGCAGGTAGCTTGCTCAGCCGAGCCTGCACAGAGCAAGTGCTTGCTGAATGCTAGCTAGTCTTTCTTATATATCAATCTGTGCTTGTCCCTTTCCTGCTTAAGCCTTCCATGGCTCCCCACTGCCTTCGGGATAGAATTCACTCACCTCACTAGACCTTTATGCCTGAATCATCGACTCTTAGCTGCCTTCTGGGCAGAACTGAATGTTGTCACCTCCAAAGATGGGGCTACTTCATGCCCGGGGAAGATCTGGCTAGCTCTCCCACATTCTGGAACTGCTCTGAGCTGGGGACGCACAGATGGGGGACAGGGGGAGAAGGTGCAGCATTTCCCTGCGAGTTCCCAATGCCGCCTTAACTCCCCTTTCCTCCTCTGAGCAATCCTGAGACTCCACTGCTGGGGGCCTCCTAGACCCTGCTTGGGGACACCCCTGGGTAGTGACCGTGGAGCCACATGTCATGGACCCCTGCTGACCCCTTCCATATCAGGTGGGCTCTCCTGTGTCCTCCTCTTGATGCAAGTTTACTCTCTCCACAGGGAGCTTAGGAGGGGACAGCTCCTCTGGTCCAAACCTCTCTCTTCAGGTGGGGAGCCTGAGCCCTTGGGGGGAAAAGGGGTGTGGCTTAGGTTTCCATTGGGACCAGAAGCTAGGCATCCCCCCTTCTCTGGGCTCCCCTCTCTCCCTGTCATGCAGGCTTCATCTCTACATTCCTTTCTCTTTTTTTCCATGCCTCTCTTGCCTTCATCCTTCTTTTCTCCTTTTCCTTCTCTTTTTTGGTACTTATCCGATAATTTATTATGACCCACCTCCTTGCAAAATAGTCAAGGCCACTTCCTGCTGGGGGATTACCCAGTCAGGCCACCCTGACCTCTAGGGGTCCCCACACCATTCTTCCAAGCCACCCCAGTCCTTGTCCATCTATCCCTGGCAACTTCCCCCCACCCCACCCACTTCACTGGGATGGGATGCCACCAGGAACCCACCTGCTCAAAGGGGCTTTTGTCCTTGAGGTCTTTGGCTCCTAAAAAGACCCAGCTATCTCTGAAGCCCAGCTGCTTTGCGTAAGAACTGCCCAGGCTGGAGAGGAGCTTCCTGGTCTCATCATTCAGTCTGCAGAGGAGCAGAGAACATGGTGAGGTGGAGGGGTGGGGGAAGGGTCAGGTTCTCAGGCCCTTGGCCTACGAGCAGAGTTGTGTTCAGGAAGAACAGGGCTGAGTGGCAAGGACTTCTCTCAAGAAGCCACTTGGAGGGGGCTGGAGAGGTGTTAGTACAATTTTGCTTCTGTTTTCAAATATACATGTTTATTTCGAAAATATGGAACATCACAGAGGAACTAAAAATTAGAGTCTCACCCCGCTTGACATAATCATTATAAAATTTTAATATATTTCCTTCATGTCTTTTTTTCCCCCAGGTACTGTGGGATCATACCAATGCTTTTACAAACTGCTTCTTTTTTTCCTCTTAACGCTAAAAGGTGAACATTCTTCCATATCCTTAAATTATTTTCTACATCATTTTTGATGCAATATATCCATATATATATATATATATATATATATATAAAATATGTCACCTACCAGCATGTGTCATAATTTCTATAACTAGTAGGTCTTTATTGGACAGGGACAGTGTGTCCAGTTTTTTACTGTTGTAACCAAGGCTGTGATGGGCCTCTTAGAACATGTACACTTGTCTGGTTATTTCCCTAGGAAAAGTTGCCAGAAGATAGAGCCAGCAGGAGAGTGGGAAAAGGCACTTAGGGCTTGGAAGCATTTGGTTTGCCATGGCCTGGCAGGTGGAGGTTCCCACTTACCTGGTTCCTGGGTCGTCATAGGAGGCCACCAGCACGAGGGCGCCCTCTGGAATTTCTTTAAGGAATTTCACCAGCAGCTTCACTTCTGCGGGAGGAAGGAAAGCAGGGTGCTGGTCATTTAGGGGAAGTGGCCACTGGTCATTCTCATTCTCTGCTACTGCTCTGATCAACCAGGAGTGGCCAGGGGCAGGCTGACACTGAGCTCCGTCTGAAGCTCGGGGGCCGGTGGGAGGTGGCATCCGGGGTGGAGCTGTCTGCAGCCCTTGTCCAGGGGAGAGCAACGTGCACAGAGCAGGGGTAGCCTCATTCAGGTGGTTAAGCGTGGACATTGGAATTTGAAAATTCTACAGGCAATTCAGATGTGCAGCCATAAGTGAGAGACATTGCGCTAAGGGCCCTTGGGGACCTACACCCAAGGTATGGAGGTCTTTGGCCCCTAAGAAATCATCTCTCAACATCTCTGGGCTCTTTGCATACCCTCCACCACCTCCTTCTACACTAGTTAACAACCTAACTTGTCTGTCCTGACTTTAGAGGATAGACCCACTGGATCACAGGCAACTCAGGTCACTGAGAGAGAACATTAGTGTCCTACAGATCCCCAGCTTACACCAAAGGGCAAGCTTCCCTTTGCATCTTGAACACCGCACTGCAGGTGCAAAATCTGTGCATTTAACAGAGACAGGCCTAGCTGCAGCACGTTGGGGAGGGATCAGCACCCAGCTGGAGCTTATCTTTATGGCCATCTTTGCTGCATAAAAAGTGATAACTTAGGGCAGCGATATAGGTTCCTTTTTAAGATTATTTAGGTTAAAAAAGTGAGCTGATTCAAAGGAAAATACTAATAATTCAGACAGTACTCTGGACATGGCATAAAGTATGCAAGGGGCTCTTGAATGGCTGAAGAAGTATGGGCAAGACTGGCCTAGTGGGAAAATCAGGGCTGTATCTGTCACATGAGGATGATCAGTAGCACTGCCCAGAGAATTTTTGTAAAGAGCAAATGTGACGATGACTCTTGGGCATACAGAAAGTGCACCATAATGGAACTGCAATTCTTAGCAGCATCTGTAACATAATTTTGGGGGCCCAGTGCAAAACGAAAATGTGGAGCCTTTTGGGGCACCAAGCTGGCTCAGTCGGTAGAGCATGTGACTCTTGATCTCTGGGTTGTGAGTTTGAGCCCTACGCTGGGCATAGAGATTACTGAAAAATAAAATCTTAAAAAAGACAAGGAGACTTTTGTTAAAAAAATATTAAGAATTTCAAGATGGCAAAACTAGAGCATCAAACCAAACCCGAATTCGCTCTAAGCACAGGGCCCTGTATGGCCACTCCACCCATAGGTCCATGCCCATGAAGACAAGCCAGTTCTTATATTCCCTGAGGATCCCTTGGATCTAGGGGAAGAATCAAGTCCTGAAAGCCAAGGTCAGCTGTCAACCAGCTCAGTAACACAGAGGCCTGTGTAGTCCATGACCACAACCTGTCCTCAGATGCTTCTGTTTTTGGGTCCCCGTCAGTCATGGTTACATTCAACTTGATAATAGGGCAATATAAAATTTAGTGTTTTTTTAAGTTATTTTTTCCCCCTTTTCATTCTGACAATGACCTCCTTGCTTCTTAGTCCTGTGGATGGAGTGAGGGAGAAGGGAAGGGAAGGGAGAACACTGAATGAGCCCCCCAGGTCCTTTCTCCAGCCAGGCAGGGCCCCTCCCACTGATTAGTGTGGGTTACCACTCAATCCCCACGTCAGTCTCATGAAGTGGACACTGTGGATTCCCTCCATTTTACAGATGACAGAACTGAAGTTCAAGAGGTGTCATTGCCTCACCCTGAAGTCCTTGACTACAGAGACTGGACCTTGTCCATAAACCTGGCCCCCGGCCACCCTGAACACCTGGGGGGGTCCTGGACAGAGAACAAATGACATCCTCTGGCCCTCGGCCAATAGTCTGCCCCACGTTCTTCTCACCCCTGTCTTAGCCCTGTCCCGCACCAGTAGGGGACTTGCGTGCCTGCATGTGGACACCCCCAGTCTGCCGGTCCAAGCTCTGTCTACACCACCCTCCCCTCCAGCAACTGCCATGCCCTGGCCAACCTTCAGTCCTAAAGGTGTATCTGTGGCTTCTGCCCAAGGGGGTCACACCTCGAAGACGTCTGCATGGGCCCTGATGCAGGCTTCCAGTCGGCACATCCTCTGGCCTTGCAGACCCTACCTTCGAGGTGGGACTCAGGTGGAGGATGGCCATCATAGGACCCATGGGATCCTCTGAAGCCCTGGGCACAGGACAGGGTGTCGGCTCGCGTCTCTAAGTGTGGTTACCTTCCAAACATTCGCAGCTGTGACTTTGGGCACCAGACTCCCATTTTCAATGCCTCCTTTGTTTGCAAGGCCAAGAGGGCTTCCCACTTTCTCGCTGCCTGGCTTTGTCTCCTCTTGGGCTTGTGCGGTTAGGTGGGCACAGTAGGGGAGTGATGCCCGAGCCTGGAGCTGGGCCCTGAGGTTGCAGGCACAGGGGAGGGTAGCCTAGCTGAGCTGGGCTCTGAGAAGGGGGGTGAGCTCAGTTCACCTATCCTGATGGAAACCAGCTTTTGCAGGACCAGGACTCCTGCTGCCTACAAGGGGCCGCTCTGCTGCTTTTCCACTCCTTATTGAGGCTCCTGTGTCAGAGGGAGGGAGGTGGGTTGCCAGCTGGGCAGTGGGTGGCATAATGGGTCTGGGACTTATTCCACCATGTTTTGGAAGATATCGGGATTGTTGGGTGAGAGTCCTGCCCCCACCATGGCTTTGCCAGTCAGCCTGTGGGCAAGGAAGCTGCTGGTGGGAAATTTCAGCCCAGGTAGGTCAGTGTCCTATAAGGCAAGGAGGACAGTGGGGTGGCTACATGCACAGAGAGGTTCAGAAAGCATGCCTGTGCACAGAGAGAAGAAAAGATGTCTGTAGAAAGATGCAGAGAGCTTGGAGCCTCAGGGATATCCTTTCTGGACCTTGGGAGGCCTTGTCCTGTCCTTGGGCCCAATGGAGACCCTGCAGCCTTAAAATATAATACTCTCCACCCAGCAGAGCAAACTAGGCCGTATGTCCTTGCCCTAAGCACTTCAGTGCACACATGCCTGGCCTCCACCTGCCAGCACCGGCATATCTTTGCCTGAAGGTCTTCTCCCACCTCCAGACCTTCCTTTGTGCCCTGGGGCAGGCCAGAAGTGTGAGAAGTGCCAAGGAATTAGGGGCAGGAGCACCCCAGCTCCCTTGCCCCTTGAGACCTCTCTGAGGCATGTGTTGGACACTGGCTCCTGAGTTCCAGTTGCCCGCAGCGTTCAGCTTGATGACACATCGCACCATCTTCCTTTCCCTGTCTGACTTCCCGCTGATATTTTCTGAGGTCACCTCCTTCCAAGTCAACCGCTGCCCTTGAATCCTTGTCTCAGGCTCTGCACCCAGGAGAGGAGTTTCAAAGACAGCAGGATGGCGTCCCACCCCCACCATGCTTCTTTCTGGTTGTCTCCTCCGGAAACCAGAGCCGAGCGTCCTAACACCCCATGGCTCTCTTGCCACAGGAAGCGGCTCAGCCCACCCTGTGACCTCAGTGCCAACAGAGAGGTGCCTACCTCCAGAGTACATGTCGAAGCATTTCTGTGTTAGCACCATTCCTGTGGTTCCTAGGGATGAGAGAGCAAAACTGTGATTTCCTGGAATGTGTCATCCTGCCTATCGTTTTGCAGAAAATGGCTACTCTTTAAGGTCTAAAAATAGAATAATAATGGAGTAAAATCAGGCCCTGTGGAAAGCATGCAGCACTAAGTAGGTGCCCACTAACCTTTGAGCTGATCTGAGAGGTACAAGAACACAATGGTGGAGGATCTCTGGAATGGAACGGTATCCAGCTAATCTGGGTCTGTGTTTTGCCTTGCCACTTCCTAATGCACCACTTAGTATTTGGACCTCAATTTTTGCATCTGAAAAATGGGCTATGGGAACTAAGTGAGATGTACTTCAAATAGGTAGTAAACACAACAAGATAAATTTCAGCTGGAAAATAGTAATAAAAAGAACTACAGCCGTCATCATTATTCCTACCTAAACAGGAAACCTGTAATTTGAGTCCTCCGACTCTAGAAGACAAAGGGACTTGCCGTGGGCTGAACTGTACCCAGTACTCGGAGTCTAGTAATCTGAATGGCGTTTGTGGGTTTTGCAAAGGGTCCAAGTCCTACAGAAAACCAGGTGTTCTGGGGAAGTCGCAGTTCTCACTCTCCGCCACTAGATGGGGGTGTTGCAGAGGGGATGGCAGATCTACGTTTTCACCCCTGGTCCCTTCCCCCTTGCGTTAGCTTGGGGATCCGGGAAGAGGGTGGGGACAGGGGCCTGGGTAGTGGAGGCTCTCCTGCTGGGTGGGGGAGCTCACAGTGCAGCCCTTACTGGACTCTCAGAGCCACTAGTGTAGGGTCCTTTGAAGGGGGGGAGGGGTCTATGTACACATGAAACTGTGATCATGTGCGTTTGTGGATTTTTCTGGAATTGGGGGGAAAAGGTGCAGACTGAAGTTTCTTAAAGGAATCTCTGCTCCCTAAAAGGTTGAGAACTACCAATATTTACCAATCTTTTTGATGGCTTATTATACAGTTGAGACTGTGAGGCCCTGAGAGTGATTTGTTGGATTTCCCCGCAGCTGGCATGCAGTAGGTGCTACATAGATGTTTGGAGAGGATTTTAGTCTAGGGAAGTAAGTAATTCAGCTGGGTGATTAAGACCTGGAGTCAGCCAGATCTGGGTTCAAATCTATTGGCTGTGTAACCTTGGGCAAGTTGCCTAACCTCTCTGAATTTCCATGTCTTACTTCCATACGGAGTCTATAGCTCCATTCTAGCATCGGGGTGAGGCCGAATGACATAGCACACAGTGAATGCTCTGTAACAGCTCTTGGTGTTACTGATGCCTGTGTTCGTCTTTGGGCTTTGTGAGGGGAGGAGAGGGAGGCCCCAAGCTAAGCCTGTCTCATTGGACACTAGTCATAGAGGTCGTCTCCTGCAGTGGCCCACTTCAGGGAAGAGAGAACCAGCAGGTTTCAGCCAGATGGGCTGCAGCCAGGGCCAGTTCCTGCCCGGTGAGCGGTGGGGGTGTGCGTGGAGATTAGGTGAAACAGGCCCTGTAGACTGAGACCCCTACGGTCATCTGCTGGCATGCCCTCCCTGTAGGAAGCGGCCGCCAATGCAGTGAGTCAGGTCTTGCTCTCCTTCTCAAGACTGGAGGAGGCGTGCCCTGCTCAGCCTCCTGCCCCTCCCAGGCCCCGCTTTTCCTGGGCTGCCTTCCGACCTCCCACTCTGGGTGAGGCCCCATTTTTGCTTTAGGCTTTGACCTTTCCCCTGACTCAGCAGGATTTCTTGGCAGAAGGGGAATGTCTCCCTAGGAGTCCCATCCTACCCTGTCACTTCCTAAGTGTGTTCATGTGGTCATGTCCTCCTTCCCGAGCATCTGCTGTGCCCTTTTTTCCACCTGCCCTGACCTTTGTCCCAGGAAGTAACTCTTAGATTCAGGGAAATGGCCTTCGCTCTCCATCTAAGAGCCAGAGGCAGAGAGAGAGGAGGGTCTTGGCTGGGACAGACCACCTGGTCCTTACTCCACCCCTGTAAACCCACCCCTCCTGAAATGTGTCCCTGTTTCAGGCATGGCTAGAAGTTGGTCTTCCTGCTGGAGATGCAGGGTAGTGAGGCTGTGGGCCTTCCTCCAGGTCTCCTTGCCCCCAGCCTCCCTGCTCCAAGCTGGAAGGAAGTTTCTGGAATGCAGGGCTGGACCCTCATGCCCTCCTCAAAGCCTTTCTGAGGCTCCCTATTGACTTTAGCTTCAAGCTCACACTTCTTAGTAGAAGGCTTAGCCCCTCATCCTCTTGCCCTGCCTGCCTCCCCTCCGTACCTGTCATCCTGCCCGCTTCTCTATGTAGCCAGGAAGACCCTGTGTGGCCCCCAAGCCCTCTTCCCTGCTTCTCCCTTCTCTGCTTCCTCTACAGTGTTGCCCCTGCCTTGAAGGAGCCTCCCCCACTTTTTCCCTGGTCAACCCCCACGATCCTTCAGGCCTCAGCTGACCAGCACCTCCCTCTGGAAGCCTCCCCTGACTACCCCCAACTCCAGCTGTATGTCCCAGCTCTCAGAGCTGTGCTTCCTCCTCCTTCATAGATGTTCACCACATTGTAGTGGTTGTCAACTCCATGGACAGGCCAGGACCTGTCCTTCTAGTTCATGGCTGACCCCTAGTGCTTCTGTACAGGGCCTGGCCCACAGTAGCTGCTGACAGTATTTGATGAATGAGTGAATGAAGGTGTGCAATCAGCTCATGATCTCACATTGTTGTTGGTTGTCCCTCAGGGTTTCATGTGTGTTGGTTTAGGCCGCATGGATGGGCCTTGAGGATGGGCTCATGTTTCATAGGAGAAGTGTATCTTCCTGGGGTAGTTGCTCACGGTGGGGGCCTGGTCAAGACTCTGGTGGGTGGGACCAGGTCTTTTAGACCTTCTGTCCCTTGGGCTTTCCCTCTGGAGCACTGCTGGATGGCCCCAGGTGTGTAGTAGGAACTGAGCCAGTGTTGGTTGAATGAATGTGGAACTACCTCCCCCCGCCCCCACCCCAGTCCTAAGAGAATGGAGGGGGCTGTCTGGGGGATAGGTCAGCAGCTCACCGTTCACCAGGGCAATGTTCAGGCCTCTGCCCACGTTGTTTTTCACAGGACTCATGATCCTGACAAAGAAGAAGAGAAAATACAACAGTTGGACCCAAACGTGGAACGAACACTCTGCTTTTGTGACTCGGGAACTCCGAGAGGGCCCACATGGCACTCTGCAGAAGCATCGGGAAGCACACAGAATAACTTGGGCCATCTGTTTTCTCCTGGAAACAAGCGGTGGGCTGGATTCTCTGAGGAATTCTCATGGCATGTTTGGACCAGAACAGTCTGCTCAGAAAAGAGAGAAGGTCCCTGCCTGGGGCTCTGAGGTGTTGGAGGTGGGACCAGGCTACCTCCCCAAGCAGTGAAGCCTGGCTGCTGGGAAGAAGGCAGAACCCAGAACGTTGCTGCCGTCCTGCAGCCAGGGATCGCTGCGTAGAGCCCAGCTGTGGCCCTACCTGCCCAGCATCCACACCCCAGTCCTCTGGCTCTCTTGGGAAAACTGTCCTGTAGTCTCAGACCAGGTGGTTCTTGGGACTCACCTCAGTCTCCCAGGCCTGGACAAATAGAGCATCCTGTCCTCTAGTCACAGTGATTGAGCCTGGTGTGGTCATGTGACCCAGGCCAGCCGATGAAACTCAGTCTTGGGCCTTTTGCAGGGATAATTTGGGTGGGAGAAAGCTGTCTTCCCAGTGGGGTGCCAGCCTGGGCTAATATGCCGGCCAACCAGTGGCCTCCCTCCTTTACATGAAGCAGCCCATTCTCATGTCCCAAAAACTGAATCTAACAGAGGAGAACAGAGCTAAAGATGGTATGAAAGGGACCCTTGATGACGTGGTTTGAACCCCTGGATCCAGCTGGTCCTGAAGCCCGCTGTCTCTGGCCTTTTGTATATATGAACCACTGAGTTCCTTGTTTTGCCTAAGTGAGTTGGAGTTTGGTTCAGAAACCTGACTAAAACATCTGTGTCTGGCTTCTTTAGTAGGATAAACTTACTGTCCCCAGGGCCTTTACTACCTGGCTTGGATAATGGGTACACAGTATTTCTCTTGAACCTAAGTAGAAGTCTTGGCACCTGCTGCATCTGAACTTTGGTGCCTAGATCTTGACTTTGAACCCTCCCCAGAGGCATCCCCCTTTATAGGAAGCCCAGCAGTCTGGGTATCACACAGACCTGAGTTCAAATCCTGACTCTACCACCAGTTAGCTGGGTAATGCTGTCTGAGCCTCAGTTTCCTCATCAGTTATAGTCCCACCTCTGGGAGTGTTGGGGGATTGAATGAGATGAAGCCACAAAGCATCTCACAAGGTGCTGGCAGATGGAGATGCTGCTGGGACTATTGTTATTTGTGACTCATCCACCCAGAGTAAAAGGAAGCCAGTGGAAGGTATGGGCTGCTTTCAGGGCCTGCCCTCGCAGCTTCTGACTTTGTGAATGAATGCATGAGTGAATGGAAAGAAAAAAAAAAACCACACAAGACACTTACACCTGGTTTTCGAAGCACATGGTGGGGCCCACGACGTTAGCAGCCCCGCTGCTGATTTTAAAGGCGAAGAACTCTTTGGGGCAGGGCTTAGCGAGGCCACACTTGGCCCTCACGACTGCTATTGAGGGAACAGAGCAACTTTAGCATTAGCAGCTCAGGAAGGGACCTGGGAGGGGGAGGGGGAGGGGCCCGGGATCAGGCGCAGGACTGAGCTCAGAGGCCTCCTCCCCAAGGAGCTTTTGCTGACGGCCCGAGTCTGGGGGGTTTGCCCCTGTGTTCCCATGATGCCTCCAACAGTCCCCGTCAAAGACGCAGGACACTGGTCATGTGGTCTGACCACCCTAGAATTCATTTTCGGGGTTCCCATGGCAGCTCTATCCCCAGCCCAGTGCCTGACTCAGCACACAGCACCCCCAGAACTAGTGTGGAGGAACGAGTGGTGGTTAATTACCACCCTGGTTATTACCAGGGTCGCTATGATGAAGGGGTTCTCTTGAGAACCTCTCTCTAGGGCCACAGCAGCCTTTTGAGCTCCCAGAGGCCCCCTGTTGGCAACTTCCTGGGGGCCCCAGCATGGTGGGTAGGACGCCTCACCAGCCAGGTTCCCGAGTCTTCAACTTCCTTGTGTATCAACATCCTTATCTGTGAAATGGGATAAATTGGGTGCCTTTCCCACTGGGTTCTTGTGAGGAATAAGTGGGCACAGGTTGAGGCTCAAGACATATTGGGTAGTCTTCTTTTTTTGAAAAACTTTGTTTTAATTATTTACTGATTTTTGAGAGAGAGACAGACAGAGAGAGACAGACAGAGAGAGACAGACAGAGAGAGAGAGAATCCGAAGCAGGCTCTGTGCTGTGAGCATAATCTGTGCAGAGCCTGATGTGGGGCTCGAAACCACGAACCGTGAGATCATGACCTGAGCTGAGCTCAAGGGTCAACCGCTTAACCGACTGAGCCACCCTGGCACCCCTGGGTATTCTTATCACTCATTTAGTGATCATACTGAACACCTACTATGGGCCAGGCCCTGGGATACAATAAGGAACAGGCAGGTGGTTCTGGCCCTCTCTCCGTGCTTAGAATCCACTGAGGATTCAGTACGTGGCACCTCTGATTATTGTGGCTGCCATTAAGACCTGTGCCTTCCCCGCGTGGGCCTCAGAGGGCAAACCCAGGGAGGGTGTGAAAGGCAGGAAACGTATACAGGACCCCCAAACACAGCCGCTGAGTTACTCAGGCCTCAATCGACCCTTTGTGAGCTGGGACATCCGTCACCTGTGCTTTCAGCCTGGCAGGCTTTAATTTATATTAATGCCTTGTGTTTTTGTTTTTTTAATACCACCTGACAGGAAAATACCTTTAGGGAGGGCTGGGTAAACACGGACTTAGAGAAAGTTCACATGCAAAAGGAAGGCGGTGATTGGGCAGCCTCTCCTTCAGCCCTGTGCCAGGCATCTAGCTGAGCTATGGCAGTGCCTGCTTGGAGCAAACCCACAGGCTTCCTAGGAGAAGCTGGCACATGCCGACGGCTTGCTGCGTGCTGGGCACTGTGGCAAGCACTTTACATTGATTATCTTGTTAATTTGTGCCTATAACTCCTGTGCCTGGCATATAGTAGGCACTCAATAAATATTCACTGAATAAACCCACGGAGCATGTGGGCAGGGTGATTAGGGGCTCCAGGGCCCTTGGCAGCCTAGAGGGAGCCTTTATGTGTATCAGGGCAAAGGGCCCCTCCGGAGGAGACACAACCCACTGGCACAAGGCTTGGCAAGCCCATGACACCTCTAAGTAAGTAAATGTGCTCCTTCCTAGGAGTGAATGCGACCCACCCCGGGGTGCCCTGCTGCATTTCAGCTCACACACCTAGTGGGCAGCCCTGGAGGTCTGAGTGCAATGCCTGTCCTAGGCTCCCTGCCCTGCCCCCCGCCCCAACCCGGAGTTTCAACACACCCAGAGCTCAAACCAGGACATTGTCCCCAGAGTGAGGGCCAGGGATGGAGACACCCACAAGGGGCTGTCCAGGCCTGTGACTCAGGACAGAGAGGGCTGGAGACGTGGACCCGACTCCCTTTCCCCACCTCCTGGAGGGGACCCTTCTCAAGAGGCCTAGCACCTGCCTGCGGGGCTGGCTGAGGATGAGGCGGGGGAGGGGTCCTCCTCTCCTATGAGTCTTGGGGCCCAACCTCTGGCCCCCGGGCCCCTCATGGGAAGGCCAGTTTACTCTTGAGACGAGAGGTTCTCACCTATGCTGGAGGGATTGTTCCAGGCCTCGGCCACCACCTTAGAGTGTGCCCAGAGCCTAATCAACTGCAGCTAAGTCTGATAAACCTGATGTCAACAGGCTGGCTTAAGCAGGCTTTTCTGGAATTGATTTTCTGACCATCCAGCCTTCACAGTCAAGCTGGATGAAAGGGATGATGTCCAGGGGTCTGAGCCACCGGGAGGCAGGGGATTTGCTCTCTGGGTTTGGGTGGGGTTGTTGCCCCCACCAGCCGCCTCAAACCCTGAGGCCTGAGCCCTCTGGGAACCCCTAGTGCTGTTGGTGAGCTCATGGAGCTCAGCCCTGGAAGGGGAGCAGTCAGGAACTGTGGGCTACTCTTCAGTAATCTGCGGTGCAACTTGCCAGAAATCTCTCCCTTTACCTTTGCTGACTGTAAAATTGGGAGTTGGTTTAGATCAGGGTTGTCAAATAGCTTTTCTCTTTAATGTCAGTGGATCTGCTGTTAGAGGCTTAATGATAAAGCTGTAGAGGCTGCCTGTGGGCCTGGAGGGAGAGGGTGCTGGGATTGACCGGTCATGTTGACCAGGGGAGCGGGCAGGGCGGGAGGCAGCACGTGGGCCTGGATTTGCCATCCTCTAGCAGGTGACGCCTGAGCGTTTGGACCAAGGTGTCGTGACACTGTGTCTGCTGCAGGATGTGACTCAGGAAGTTTCAGGTCAATGGAGTTGAGGGTGTGGGGCAAATGGTTCGTGTTGGTCCATACGGTCTTTGCTCTCTGTAATCCCACAGTGCACTGGGGCTCTTATGTCCTTCTCAGTCAAAATTCTGTTCCTGGAACCACCTCCCTCTTCAGTCACTACTATGTCGAGGTGCAAGAAGGTGGGCCTGGGAATGTTGCCTCTCGCAAGGAGGTGTTGAGACCGTGGGCTCTGGACCACCACATACAGCTGTGTTGCCTTGGCCAAGAGATTTCACTTCTCTGAGTTTCAGTTTGCCCATCTGTAAAATGGGGATGATTATACAGCACCCACACAAGGCTGTGGTAAGGATTGCAGGAGATGCCTATAAAGCTCTGAACATGGGGTCTGGCACATAGTAGGCCTTCCATCGTGGTACTATTATCATCAACATTACTGTCCTTACTCTCACCTTCTCCACACTTCGGGAGCTTGGGTCCTGGCCAAAGCCCTGCTCAGATGTGTGCAGTGTCCCACATTTGGGGCCTCAGCCACGGGCTCCCCTGCAGCCCCACACATTCCTGCCTCTAGGCCTTTGCCATTCCCTCTTCTCTGATGCCTTCCATGACCCCATCTCATTGGAAGGGGGCAGCCCTCCTGGAGCCCAGAACACTTTGCCCCATCTCTCTTGGCATGTTTGGCACTTCTACCCCAACAGACAATCAACACCCACTTCTGTTTGCCCCTGGGGGCCTCTGTAGTGCCCGACATGGCCTCTCATACTTGGTAACAGGAACTGTGAGTCAAGCCTTGGGTCCCTGCATGATGATAATAAGCACAGCCCCCATCTTCTGGCCCAGGGGCCCAGTGGGGAGGCGGCTGTGCTCGGCCAGGTGCCGTGACGGGGAGGCAATCCAGACTGCAGGGCGAGGGGACTGGGGAAGGGAGAGTTGAGCCATAGATTTGAGAATCTATCAGTGGGCCACAAGGCTCGGGGGCTTCGGAAGGCAACATTGGGCCATGGGAGGAGAGAGCTGGGCAGACTCTGGACACAAAGATGTTTCCAGGACCTGCATGGCCAGGAATAGCAGCCCTGGGACATCTCACCCTAAAGCAAAGGCAGGGCTGGGGTGATACTCACGGATCTCCTTGGTGACCAAACCTGCTGGAGAGAAGACAGATCTGGTTAGAGAGGAAGTGCTTTGGGTGCTCCCTGCTGGAGGCTGGGGTGTGGGGTGTGGGACATGGCATTGGCCTGGCCAAGGGATCCTCCTCCCCTGCAGGATGTCCCGCCCTTTCAGGGAGCCCTCGCTCACTTGCCACTGCTACCCCTTTACACACACACACACACACACACACAGCACTTCCTACTCTAACAGAGCATGTTATTAAATGCATAAAATAAAATAGATTAGAAAGGAAACCAACTGTATATCAATACAGAAATAAAACATTAAAAAATAAATTTGTGCTGTGGTAATATATGTGCTTCTATATTAATGCATTAAATAATAAGGTGGGATGTGTGCAGCCAGGCTAGGAACCCCTGAAGACAATGAATGTTGTCTTTCAGTGGCTGAACATTAATGGTTTTCGATGACCACTGTTCCCACTGGTGACATTTTCTGTCACCGTAAGCATTTCTCGAGACTCTGGATCATGTTAATGCACTACTGTATATTCTGTAATTAAGTCTGTTTGTCTCCCCAACTCAGACCATGAGTGGGGGCCACATGTTAGGTCCCTGGGACCTAACACAGAATAGTTGCTCCATGATTGTTGGTTGGAGGTATTGATTTACCTCAGGTAGCTGAGTTCCGGGGTATCCTTCCTTTCTCTTTTCAAGTTTATTTTCTTTATTTTGAGAGAAAGAGAAAGGGAGAATCCCAAGCAGGCTCTGTGCTGTCAGCATGGAGACTGACAAAGGGCTCAGTCTCACAACCGATGGTGACCTGAGCTGAAATCAAGAGTCGGATACTTAACTGACTGAGCCACCCAGGTGCCCCTGGGGTTTCAAACACTGTTCTCTTTCTCACCTCAGGCTTGGGCTGTCTCTTCTAGAGGACACACCTGATCTCCACTCCTGCTCTGAGCCTCCTGTACTGACCTGGGCCCATCCCTTCCCAGGCTGTCGGTACAGCCGAGTCGATCTGTATGAAAGTAGTGTCCAGGGACATGTTGGCCACCATGAATCTATATAAATCATCTTGACATGGGTGTGAGCCATGCTTGACAAGAAGTGTGTGAGGTGAGGGATCTCGGAGACTCCTCTGTGGGATGACTGGCTTCTCACAGCTGTGAAGTTGTGAGCTAGCCTGGACCACTAGAGGTTATTATGTTTGATTGTGTCAATGGAGGTGGTTCTCTGAATCCAAGGAGAACAAATGCAGAGGCATAGATAGCTGCCTTTTCTCTCCTTCCTTTAAAAGAATTTGGACCTGTGAGACCACAGTTCCCATTCCTCCTGACATCTACAGGGAGCATTTGGGCAAGTTTCTTAAGAAAAGAAGGAGATGAGGAAACTTACACCACACCATGAGGTCATGTATGAGTCCACTCCACAACCAAATCTTGGATCACCTCATGGGGCATTTGTGCAGATTATATGAGATTATTCATGTAGGTAACTGGTATTACTTACTCATCCATCATCCCCCCATCCATCATCCACTCATCTGTTATCCACCCGTCTATCCGTCCATCCACCCATCTGTCACTCATTCATTACCCACCATCCATCACCTATCCATCCATCCATCCATCCATCCATTCATTTTTCTTTCACTCATCAAATGTTTACTGAGTATCTGCTCTGCACCAGGTGCTAGAGAAATGGATGTACACAAGATAAAATCCTTGCCTTCAGGAAACTGGCACTCTAGGGGCTGGTGATAGGCAACGACCAAGTAGACAAGTAAACACTGGTGAAGCTCTAAAGGAAACAGGCTGACATGAGAGGCAAAAGTAGGACAAGGGGGTGTGGCTGCAGCTGGGGTGTGCAAGAAAGGCCTCTATGAGGAGGTCACATCTGAGCAGAGACCTGAAGTCTGAAAGGAGCTGGCTGCAGAGAGATGTGCAGAAAGAGTGTCCCGGGCAGAGGGAAAGCAGCTGCAGCTGGAAGCCACAATGCTCAGTTTTCTCCTTTTTGGCCTCCCTCTCTTCCTCCCTCCTTCCTTCCTTCTTTTCTTCCCCCCTCTGTCCTTCCTTCTCTTTCCTCTTTCTTCTTGGAATCACATTTCCAAAATGACCCCTTGATGTAGGTGCGTGTTTCAGCCAGGGCCTCGGAACACTTCCGTGTTCCCCATGGGCTCCAGCCTTCCCGACAGCCTCCACCCCCACAAAGGCTGGGATCCCAAAGGCAGCCCACACCATGCCGTATCTGGTGGCCCATCTCCTGGGCCACCCACGGACAGAGGGAGGAATATATCCTTGGCCCCGTCCTGGTCCGTAGGCCCTACCCCCCAGGAGTGGGCCCCACTCACTCAGCCAGCGGGGCAGACGGATAGTTTTCCCGTTTAAACTGATGTAGCTGCGAATAAAGATCCATGTGGTGACCAGGGCAAAGATGAGGGCCAGGAAGCGAAGCACACCTGCAGATCAAGGAAATGCTGCCATGAAGCCACATCACAAGGCCAGATAGCAAGATTCTTACCAAATCCTCACAGTGAGACCATGCCACGGGACCCCACTGAGGGACCCTGTGTTGTAGCTCCAGATCAAGACCCACACCTTGGACCAGTTCAGGGGACCACATGGTGAGACCACGTGTGAATCCATGCAGTGATCAAGTGGTGAGATCACGCTACAAGATTACATGGCAATATTTCCCAAAGTGAATCCACTGGGAGGAAAAGGTAGAAATGCACCTTCCGGGGCTCCGCTTAGCCATCCAGAGACAGAATCATTGAGGGTGAGGCCTGGAATCTGCATTTTGGAGGCTGGAGAGGTGTGTTGTGAAAACAGGAGGCAACTTCTACTGCAGACAGCCCTAAGAGGCGAGCCTCCTGGCAGGACGTGGAAGGCTGCGTCCAGGGCCCCGGGCGGCAGGTGCTGCTGTGTGATGTTGGGCGGACCTCAGGATCTTTGGGTAGGAGTGCCTCAGTCAGAGTGAACATGGTTCAACACCCTTGCCTCTGAGCCTGCAGCTTGTTGGGAGGGATGTGACAGTTGTCCCTGGTAGGCAGCCTCCAGGGTGGCTTGGGGCCGGCCTCCCACACTTTCCATCACTCCCCCTGAAATACACATGGCCTTGCTGCCACGGCTTCCCTGGCCTCGTGGCCAGATTGCTTCCGCATCAGTGGGGAGCAACCCCACACACAGGACAGACCCCCACCCCCACCCCCCACCCCTCTGAGCTCCATGTCCTGTCTCTTCCCTTACTCTCCCATGAGGGTCAGAAGCAGGCTCCACTATGCCTCCCAGCTCAAGGACCCTAGTGGCCCTGCTGTCATCAGGCCACGTTTCTCTAGCTCCACCCCTGACCTCCGTGTGGCCCTGAGATCAACTCCATGGTCTCATGCTGGTTTCTGGCTACTTGGGGGTAGGGGAGAAGACTCCCTGGATCCTGGGGGGCAGGGCTCAGGTCTGTGGGAGTCCCTCATCTTCTGGGGTGCAGTGTGACTGTAGGCACCCAGAATTCTCCCTGGGTATTATATTGTTAGGGCACCAGGAGAACAGCTTTTACATACATTATTTCAGTTCATCCTCACAATAAACTTCTGTGTTACATACTATTGACTATCCCCATTTTACAGATGAGGAAACTGAGGCTCAGAGAGGTGGTCACTTGGCTGGTAAGTGACAGCGGTGGGGTTTGAACCCAGGGAAGTAAGCTAACTCTAAAATTTGTGCTCTTCCCTACAGCTGTTTGGGAATATGGATGAATTGTGTCCATTTCTTGGTGCCTCAGTTTCCCTATTTGTCCAGACAGAGTATAGCATGAGGGCGTGGATGAGAAGGCAAAAGCTGCTCCTTGTGCCCAGCCCCATGATGTGAGGATTCTAGACTAGCCCTCCTTGAGACAAATATTTTGTCCCTAATTTCCTACCAGGATCAGATATTTCCAAAACAGGGTCGCTCCCTGTGATCCCAGCCAGATGAGATCATCGTGCCAAGCTTCTCTGGTCCCTCGGCCTAGAGGCAGGAGGTCTCCTTTTCTCCTCTTCCAGGCTCCCCCCGGATGGGTTTCCTCCTGGAATTCTGGCCTGACCCTTTGAGAGCACATGTGGCCAAACAACCCGGGAGTCTAGGACTGCCTGCGCTGCTGATCGAAAAAAGATTCCCAAATCGATTTCAGACCTCAGCCTTGAGCCTAAGAATCCTCAGAGCCTGACCCTACCTGACACTCTCATCTTGTCCAGGTGAGGAGTGGCTTGGGGTCAGTGTTAGCCTGTGGAGAGAAGGAAATCAAATTGGAAACTGGCACCTGGGGTCTGCAAACAAATAAGGCTGACAATTAGGGACAGGTACCTCGAACTGAGGAGATCACAGACCTTTCGGTTTGGTTCCTCACCATCTGCCAACTGTTCCCTCTCTGCCTCCACCTCTCCTTCACTTTTGTCCCTAGAACTTTATTCAATTCAGCATGTCTTTTTTGGTGCAGACATTGGCCAGTGGAGGAAGGTGAAATGGGCCAGCCACTGTCTCTTGGAGGGCTGGCTTATTCACTCATCCATCCATTCATCCTCCCTCCCTCCCTCCCTCCCTCCCTCCCTCCCCTTCCTTCCTCCCTCCCTCCTTTCTTCTTCACTCCCTCCTTTCTTTCTTTCCTTCCTTCCTTCCTTCCCTCCAGCTAGCCGAGAGACATTGAGCTTGACCTAGCTAGCCCTAGTCAAACCAGCAGGAAGACAGAAGCTCGAGTGAGCTCGAGTGAGAGTACCAAAATGAAGAGTAATGAGGACTCTCCCATGACAGCTGAGTTTGCACAGGGTGCTATATATGCAATTGAATCCTCCTTGAATTCTCACACTCCCCCATTTTAGGGGTAGGTAGACCAAGACTCCTTATGGTTAAGCCCAGGATTATTCAGATTGTAAGGATGGGAGTCAGAATTTGGATGCAGGTCTCCACTGCCCAATCCCCACAGGGTCCCATTGCCAGTGCTTTTGTCTCAGGAGAGTCGAAATTGGGGTTTCCTCCCTTCTTGAGACCTGGGCATGGGTAGGGTTGTCCTTGGCCCCTCCTCCTTTCCCCTGTGCCACCCCCCAAGTGCTGGGCAGTTACCGGTGATTTGGCAGCTTTGAAGACCCCCAGTAAGTCTCTAGAGACAGAATGGAGGGGAGGGCAGGGCTGGTGGTAACTGTTCCACGTCTGTGACCCGCTGCAGCCAGCTGGAGGGGCCCTGACCTCAAGGACTACTCCCACCACTCTTCCTGCCCCTCCCATCCCAGAATCTTCTTTATCATAAGAATCTATCTCAACAGACGTGGTCTGCAAAGTCCAACTGTCAAGGACCCAGATAAGAGACAGGAGGCTTGAGGTCTGCCACGGAAGCAGTGGGCTGGGTCAGTCCTTGACATTTAAACAAGAGCAAGCACTAGTGCAAATCTGCATTTCCTTTTGTTAAGCAGGTATAAAACTGCTCCCCTCCCCCCACTCTGGCCCTGTCTTCCAGGTCCTTCCAGGTGAGAGAAGTGAGCCGTGCCTGACACCACCCACAGAGATTTTGTGGGACTTTAACTTCCTGAAATTCAAATTACCACCCCCCCCTTTTTTTCCAGATACAAAAGCATGTTATGCTTTTGAATGTTCATAGGATGTGACCTATAGTGAACAGTGACTTACGGAGAGCCCAGGCCAGAGATGAGGCTGGCAGGACATTCTGTGGGATCCCCATATGTGGAGGCTCCAGGAGAGCTGGGGGCCCAGCCGGATGGAAGGAAGTATGAGGACAGGGTCAGATAGATGAGGTGGCACAGATGAACAGATACTGATATTCGCAGACAGCGAGTCAGAGACAGAGCTTGGAGAGAGCAAGGACAAGGGGACAGGGAGCCGGCAGAGATATAAAGAGAGAAAGAATGAGACAGGGACAGAGGACGAGAACAGATAAAGGGGCAGAGGTAAAGAGCAAATACTCACAGCATGCACTTACCCAGATTCGAAGGGAGAAAGAGTGCCATTCAGAAAGACACAAGAAAGATAGGACAGAGGCTGGGGCACATACCTGGCAGGGGGCTAGCTTCTCGCTGGCATGCCCATGCCAAGCAGGGTTCTGGCTTCAGGGTGGGGGTGGGGAGGGGCGGGGCGGCTCTTCCAGCTGGACGTGTCCACTCTGCACCTGCAGGGCTCTCCAGTCTCCTGAGTCCCTGGCCGGCTCACCCTGGCAGCCCGTGGGTGCTCTGGAGACTCCAGCTCCAGAGTCGCGGGCTCCGGGACTGGACTACTGGGGGCGGGGAGGGAGGAAGACCGGCCCTTGGGACGGGTACGCAGGGTGGGGCAAAAATTCCCTCTGTAGCCACCCCGACCCAAAAGTCTCTTTCCTACCTGTTCTTGCGAGATTTGTCTGTCACAACCTGTTATTCAGGTTACGTAGCTGTGGGGCAAAGGTGCAGGGAGAGAGGGCTTCCTGCCCTTGCATGCTGGCTTGAGGCCTAGGCACACATATGGTGGCTCCAGGGTGGTCACAAGGTCAGGGGGGTGGGAGGGTGGAAAGTAGGGGATGGGGGAGGAGAGGTGCGGAGTAGGAGGGCAGAGCCCCTTTTTCACCCTCGAGGTCCTTGAGCCTCTCCCTTTGTCCTGTCCCTCCCCTTGAGCCCCTTTGGACTGGTTGCAGTTCTTTTGCATAAGCCCCAAGCATGGTTTTCTTTTCCAAGGCAGGCCTTATCTCCTGTAGGTCTAGGGCAATGCTGAGCACGGAGGAGGTGCTCCATGAATATTTTGGGACTGAATGAACTCCATTCTTGCCTAGTCCTGAAAGGTTAGGACAGTTAAAGTTCAGAGAGGACAAGTGACTTGTCTAAGGCCACACAGCCAATTGTGGATTTCCTTTCTGAAGCATTCTCTGAGCACTCATGGCAAGGCAGGCTGTGCATTAGGCAGGGGTGTATGGCTACGAGCAAGATACACTCTGGAGTGTTCCTGGGCCTTTGCACCCCTAGTCCCTGTCTGTACACCGTTCCTCTGCCTCTTTGCCTGGAACACTCCTACTTATCCTCGGGTCTCAGTGTAGGAGTCACTTCCTCTGGGAAGCCTTCCTGGACCCTCCACATCAAGGTGAAATACCTACATGTGGTCCTGGAGGAGGGGACACTTGTCATGGCATCTCACCCTGTCGTAAGGGGCTGGTCAGGGAGAGCACTGTGATTTCTTTGTGACTGGTTCAGAAGGGGGCATGTGACCCAAGCAAGACTAATTAGAGTTTTTCCTGGGACAGATGTGTGGAAACTGGAGAGAAAGAAGCTATTTTTTTTACCAGGTTACTCTAAGCTAGCCATCTGTGAGTCTGGGGCCATTGTAACACATCACCCCCTGCTGTGGGCAAGTCCCGCCAGAAGGTGTAAATGCCAGGGCTGAGTAGTGGGGCATACTTGAGAGAATCAGGGAGGAAAAAGTCTGCATTGTCAGGAAAGAGGATGGACTTTGGGTCCATTGGACACACCTGGGTTAGTCACTCAATACTTGTGTGCTTTGGGGCACATCTCTCTGGGCCCCAATTCGTCCTTTGTGAAATGAGGGTGATGCTATCTACATGTCCCGAAAGGGGTGTCAGGCAGAGTGGCTGTCTGCCTACAAGGGTTTTGCTGGCCTGTTGGCCCCACTTGCCCCGATGCTTCCTCCTAGCACCCTCCTTGGCAGGATTCTACTCGGATGTTTACTTTTCCTACGAAACCAAAATGTCATCACAGCCTGCTTGTTTGTGACATTCCTTAATGGCCCTCTAGGAGCTGGGAAATCAGCTTCTCCCTGTTTCCTGGAGCCCTCTTTACTCAGGTGCCTTGGAGCTTAACCTTTGAGCTCTGTCCCAGAGCCAAGATGAACGGAGGAGGGGTTACTCTCTAGCCAGTCTAGGAGGGTTGAGGAAAGCACCTTGATTGGAAAGCACTTATTTCAAGTGGGTATTTCCCCTGCTTAAACCTGGTCTATGGTCCCGAAATCTCTCAGGATGAAGGCCAAAGCGTCTCACGTGGAGGCCTTGGATGATTTTAACCCTGGCACGAGATTGACCTTACCAAGCTCATCATCTGCTGTCCCCACTTTGCTTTCTGCTCTAGACACTCAGAGCTGCCCTGAATGAGGCTCTCTCTCCCCCTCCAGCCTCACACATGCTGTTCTCTCTATGTGGACTGCTCTCCCCTGACTCACCCACTTGGGCAGCTTTTCCTTGTCCTCAGGTCCTTACCCAAGCGGCCCTTTGTCGTTGGAAAGACAGAACCTGGAAGCTGTTTCCTAGCTCATCCCAAGGACCCAGGCTCAGCCAACAGTCACTCCTGAATCAGCCCTGAGCCACAGGTAAAATGGAAAGAGCTCTGCAAACAATGCTCTGCATTTTCCCCGGCTTGGGCGTTAGCCACGGGTTCAACTTCGCTCTCTGATCTTCAGGTCATTTCCAAGGAGGCATGAACTTGAGGCCAGATACGGAGCTCGGAGAAATCAGATTGCAGTTAGCACCAACTGTTGCTTTATGGCTGCACTTTTATTTGCTTTAGCCCTTCAGCTTTTCCGGCACCTGCTGGCAATCAGGTTTCCTCCTCTCTGCCCGGAACCATACCTCAAATTGCTGCCCAAATTCCGGAGCAGGGAAAAACCCGTTTAGATACACCTGGGAGAAGAAACGGCGAACACATGGTGTGTGTGCGGCCTCTCATCCTCCTGTGACAGTGGAAGACATCAACAACCCATACTGATCTCGGCTTCGGGGTCTTTTCTACGTGCGGGGCACCTGGGCTGCTCAGTCGGTTAAGCGTCTGACTCTTCACTTTGGCTCAGGCCATGATCTCATGGGTTCATGAGATTGAGCCCCACATCGGGCTCTGAGCTGACAGCCCGCTTTGAGATTCACCCTCTCCCTCTCCCTTCTGCCCCTCTCCCACTCACCCATGGGTACACACTCTCTCTCTAAATAAACTTTAAAAAAAAAATTTTTTTTTAAACGTTTATTATTTTTGGGACAGAGACAGAGCATGAACGGGGGAGGAGCAGAGAGAGAGGGAGACACAGAATCATAAACAGGCTCCAGGCTCTGAGCCATCAGCCCAGAGCCCAACGCGGGGCTCGAACTCCCGGACCGCGAGATCGTGACCTGGCTGAAGTCGGACGCTTAACCGACTGCGCCACCCAGGCACCCCTAAATAAACTTTTAAAAAAGAATCTTTTCAATGTACTGCTTTAAGCAGAAGCAATTTCCGCCGCTGTCTTAGAGATTTACTGAAGAAGAAAATAGCGGACACT